GCTTGTGGAGGCGGTGTAAGAGGGCCGTATACTGGCCTATTGTTTTGAGAGTCCTCCCTTCGCCGGAGAGGAGAGTGGTCAAGTCCATCTAGATGTTTTGAAGGCTGAACAAAATAAGTGCACTTCGGACGCTTCTCAAACTCGCCTGTATACACGTTCTGCAATCTCGGCAGAGTGCCCCATACTCGCAGCAACAGCCTTCCGCTTTTGCAGAGTCGTGTCGTCCTTGTAGAGCTCGCTCAGAAAGATCTTCCGGAGCATCCAGGACCCGACCCGTCTGTTCTCGTTCGCAAAAATCTGTGACGAGGTTTGCGACAAGTAGGCGGGGGTCATGGGAATGTCACCATCCTTTAGGTTGGAAAGCAAGTATTTCCTCGGGAAGAGTCGGAGGCTGTCGGAGATGACTTTTATTCAGGGGTTTCGGAAACACGTGCGTCTGATCGCCGTACGCCTTGTGTGTCTTATAGCACTTGTCTTAGAAGGAGGGTGTAGCAGCCAGGTGACTCTTCGACGAGCACGTTCGTGCCTTTTTCTGCTTCGGTTTGCTCGCGACCGTATGGGATGATCTTGACGTGCGCAAAGTCGTTACGCAATGGGCAGATTCTACTGTAGAGATTCAGGATCGCATGGTGTGTGATCAGCTTCCTGTCTTCGACGGTGATATCCTCGACATTCTTCACAACAATCTTCTTCTTGATGGTTCGTTGAAGCTGCTTGATCTTATCACGAACGTCGTTGAAGGTTATCCAATTCTTCAACTCTCGGTCCGTTTTCGACTGTGCTAAGTTTTCGTTGTCAGAGATTTCCTTAACGCACTTTTCTAGCTCCTCTGAGTACTTCATGAGCAACTCTCCATCCTTGTTGCCCTTCAGAAGGACAATGACGGGTACAATGTACAGCTTACGAGATGGGGCCTTGTAGTGTGAAAGGGATGCCATAACATTCTCCACGTCTTGCAACCAGTCCAAGTCAGAAAAGTAGTCATCATCGGACTGAGTCACCATTCTGTGCAGACGGTTAAGAATCGAGATGTACTGAGTGACCGTTGTGTCGGACCTTTTGGGGCCGCTCAATAGGTTCCGTAAAACCATTCATCTGGTTTGTAATTGAGATAATTTTCTCGCTCGGTATGGCAGGTTACAAGAAGGATGGAAGATGATGATTACTGCATCGTGGAGTATGCACAATTGGATGCTGACGGGATGCGCCTTTCAAAGGAAGACTGTGCACTTGCAAGAAAGGCAAAGGAGGTTGCCTGTCAACGTGACCAAATTTTGCAGCTCCTAGGCGAGATTAAGGACTCAGTGGGCTCCTTCGACGAAGCTCGCCTGCTGTATCGCAATTGGAGGGTGAGAGTACTAAAGTCATTGAGACGACAGCGGATCTTTGACGAATTACCAGAGTTCTCCGGCGTGTGTGGTTCTTGCAGGCAGGACGTGGGGTATTACAGTGTCCACGCGATCGTCAAGAGCGGCTCGGTTGAATGGATTTGCCACTCATGTGACGTCATGGATAATCAGGACCTTGCAGATTTGCGGGCGGCCGTAGATGCCAACCTCCTCAAGCTGCGAACCTCTTTGAACGAGCTCGCGGAGGTGGCCTCCCTTCAGCAGGTACAGAAGCTGATCCGCATAAGGGACGTCTTGAAAGCATCTGCAAAGGCCCCGGGGGAACGATACGAAGTGCCTCGAATCGGTGGTCACGAATTCTTCGAGTGGAAGCTCTTAGTGATTGACCCCATGCCCAACTTTCCTAAAGAGGAACTAGAGAGGAGGGAGTTTTGTGCAATGATGTCTACAAAGGAGCGGGCCGATTTGACCAGACTAATGAAGCAGGTCGAAAGGCTGCATCAACGTTATTTTCATACGGATTTGCTGGGGCTGATCGCCGATTCGGTGAAGACGCGTAACATGCACATGCAGAAGCGCTTCGAGACGATTCGGAAGCCGGCCCTTTTCGAAAGCCTGTCGCCGGAGGCAGCCAAGGCCCTCTGGGATGCACAAAAGGGCAAGTGTTCGAGCTGTGGGGACGACATGCTCTGGAGCAGACTGTTTGGCGGAGGCTGGCTTTGTCCTGAGCTCGACAGGACGGATGTTAGATTGGGCACATACGTCGACAATTGCACGTGGATGTGTAGATGCTGCAATACGTTCAAGGGGTCGACGTTGGACGTACGAGCCTACGATAGGGTGCATTTGGACACGCTTGAGAACGTAATGGGACGGCTTCCCGAAGTTTCAGATGAGTCGATGAAGTTATTGTCCGCGGAGGTCGATCGTCAAGGTGGCAGGGACGCCCACCTCAAATGGTTGCGGGAGAAGAGTGCGCCGGCACCACAGCCTGTGGCACCACTGGCACCACATCTGGCACCGCCACCAGCATCTGGCACCACATGCGCCACAGCATAGAGTTCTCAAACGAGATTGTTTTTGCATTTCTGTTCCATAGCTTACCATGGAAGAGGTTCTGACTCCCACTCCACAAAGGCCCATTAGCAGGCTCCAGATCAACGAGGACTGTCCGAAAAGCACACGCTCCTTACCAACCCCGAAGACGGCTGTACGTGAGCAGATTACGCCTGAGGAGATTGCCTGGTTGTATGATTCCCTGGCGGTCTTGTGAAGAGTAACAAATCGAACGGATTCTAGAAAAGAAACCCTTCGTGCAAGCCTCTTGCGGGAGCGTTTGGTGCAGCAGGCGACGGATGGTCCTTAGCAACCACTAACAGTTCTCTTCAAGGAACCGCAGAGCGGCCTTCTGCCAAGGTGACTTGGGGGACTTTGGTGATGTACTTGCATCAGCTGTCATGGATTCAAATTCACAGAAGGCATCGAATAAGGTGTTCTTGTCTGCTGCATCGTTGAGTGCTTCGGGTGCCGTGTAGGCCCTGCTGCACATGATTACTTCTTCCATGCGCCTGAGACCGTCGAGGAGAACCTTTGGTGCGTGGGCATTGGAAAGGGTGTCGATGAACTGTGAAGCATAGTCTTCAAAGGTCAGCCTGTGTCTCGAAGAGGTCGTGTAAAAATGTTCCTTTGACTCGGGAGTGGGATCCATTCTAGGTTGTGGCCCAGATTTGCGTAAGTGTTGTGCGGACGCGCCATTTATTACCATTTTCGCTCAAACTGTCGCCCCTGTTATGTAACGGGGGTACAAGAAAATGCGATAAATAGCAATAATGCCAGAGTTAACTGGCTATCCCTCAGCCGCCCAGCGTCTTCGGTAGGCAGAGCCTGACCAGAGTAACTGGGTACTGAAGAATACTGTTCCTTTTTGTGGACACAAGTACTGATATTCCTATGCCATGCCATAGACCTCCGACCCAAATCCAAGCGACGCTGGTACATTGCACAAAGTGCAATCGCGCTTCAGGGAAGCTCAAATATGGGCCTTTTGATGGAGGTCTCATACCGTATGTTGACGGGGCACGCTTAGGACAGCACTAGCCACTCTTAGTCGGTAACAAGTGATGCTCATAATCAGAACATACAGTACCCCCTCACAATTTTGAGGGGGGTTTGAACGCACTTTCCAGATCTTCAAGCGTTACACACCACAAGTGACACTTTCGAGGAAACTGGTAATAATCCTTGCAGGTTCATATGGCGCAGTCGATTGCTTTTGGTAGAGTGGCCATGCCTGTACAAGCCTTTCGTGAGAGGGAGGAGAGGAGCTACCGAGTCAAGAGGGGGCAACTACCAGCCAGGGTGCACGTTTTGGAGTTCGGACAGGCCGTACTATGCAACCCCACCGGGATGCGGGATAACAAGCTGTGTGCAGTTGCGTTCCCGTCGAAGCCCCTGCTTCAGTCCGTGAATGCGGTTTTGGAAAACCAGTTCAGGATTGGGGATATGAGCACGGACGCCTTGCTGACTCACATAGAGACCTTGCAAGATGTCGAGGGTGTTTTTGAGGTGAATGACTGCTTCTGCCAGTTGGAGAATAGGAAGACCTACTACATGGTCACTCAGATTCTCAATGAAGGCGATGAAGCATTCATCTCTGAAAGAGTTCTCGAATTTGACAACTGACATTACCAGTAGCCTAAATCCGGAGTGATTTACAGTTTGCAAGCAGTTCCAACCACCACCCTGAGTCACTTGGATCAAGTCTCGTCTCATGAGGGACGATTCCATCACGAATGACCCAATCTTTCGTCCCACCAAGTATCAGTTGCAACATGCATACGCAACTGCTCATGCCCTTGACTTCAAGCTCCCTTTTGCTGAATGTAAAACGGAGTCGTGCTGGGAACTCTTGTACAAGTTCCACTCTCACCATACGGGTACAATCGAGAGTCTCCACGATGAAGTATGGGAAGACGCTCATCATTACCATAACATTGATAGCTGATTTCAACACTTTGACGTGCCCGACTGCATGGTGACGTTACACCCAAGCACTGGCCTTGTCAGAGCTTGGACGCGAAGGGAACAGCATGGTCCACGCCGAGCAGTTACGTCCAAGATGACGTTCCACATGATCCAATAATGGTCTTACATGGCACGTGACAGAAACCGTGGACACAACAAAAGTGATACCGCCGCGTGTCCATATCGCGAGATTGTGAAGATTACCCCGTCCGCTGCGGGCAGCAGGTTTGAACTGTACGGTAGTGAGACGGCCAAATTGTTCCAACGCTACAACTGGAGCTGCGTCAAATTCCCAAAGGGTGCAAAAGTTTGCCAAAGTTTGCCTCCTACGGGAGGTGGGCAAACATGGGGGAGACCTATGGGTCGTTGTTAACCAGACAGCAGCAACATAAAGTGTCTGAGATAGCCCTCGCCATTGCCCCAGACGGGTTCACCATCTCTTGTAATGATGACTATGCCATTTTAGGTTACAAGCACAAAGATCGTGCGCGCAATAGAGTGCGTGAAATAGGGCGAGAGGGATTTGACTACATTGTTGTTCGTAAACCTAATCAGGTTCCCTGGGAGGACTATCTTCTTACCCGCCAGTTTGTGGAGGAGATTCTTGCACGGTCCAGGAGTGAACTTGGGAGGGTAATACTGGGGTTTTATCGAGAAGTGAGGGACACATATTGCAGAGGTACTGAAGACGGGAGGAAACGTCAGGCCAAGTTGATGGCAGCTCATGCAGACAACAAGGTAAGGTAAATGTGCAAGAATGTATTGCAAAGGTTACACCTGATTTGAATCAAATGCTGGCATTTTCTAGGTTTTGTAGGTCTGGGGCACTTGATAGAGTTCTTGCGTTGATCTGCCTCTGCCCTATCTGGGACACTTATGTCCTCTGCGGTTTTCAATGCATGAGCAGCTTGAGGATTGTGTTTCCGTAACGCAGGTTCTGTTTTCTGGCAGGTGTCTTCCGCTGTAATCCTTCAACCACTAGCGACAATAGCGCTTCGTCAAGCAGAGCGGCCGCAATCCCCAGGGCATGCCCAGCAAGCGCAGCCACGTGGCCTCATGCAAGCTGGGCAGTCCCAACAAATGCAGCCACGGCGAGTGCAACAAGCAATGCCGTTCATGCAAGCTGGGCCGCAAGCGCAGCCAGTTGGGCTGCTTAAAGCGCAGCTAGATGGACAGCTGCCGCATGCCCGGCAAGTGCAGCCAGTTGGGCAGCTCATACAAGAAGGGCAACCCAGTGGGATGGGGGGACAGTCCCAACACGGGCCTTGGTCAAGACATCCCACCCCAGAAAGACCGCAAGCCAGATTGGGACCGCATTTTGTTAGGTACTCGCAGTCCGGATCAGGGCAGCCCAATCAACCACAGCAACAAAGTCTGGGGGCTTCTGAGGTTTTACGACAAAGGCAGTGGCAGCAGTGGTCTCAACAAGTCCGTCAAGGCCTGGAGCAGGAGGGGCAGCAGGTACTGTTTATCATCAGAGTCACCTAAAGTGTCGCCGAAGTGATCGCTTGAGGCAATAAAAAAGGCGAAAATCGGCACCATATGTACTGTTCAGTTCTATTTGGGGTCAGGCGTTTTTGCATGTTTGCACTGCAATTTAGGCTGATATATCGTCATTTGTTTCCAGGTAACACCGAACGTTCAGGTACAACAACGAACTTGTATCTAATCCGACGCGTGTGTGTGAGTAAGATGCATTTCCTTGAGGGTGCGCGGCAGCTAAACGTTCTAAAGGAGAGTATGAATCAAAGATGCGTTTATGTGTAAATCTCCAATGGTTCCATTTTCACAAGGTTTGGTAAGGTGAATCCCTTCATGAACCTCGGTTCAGAGCCCCACCTACTCGACAACCAAGGTGTGTTCTCCTTATTAACACGTGTTTTGTGCAGCATGTCCTGCAAGCTTTACGAGAGCAAAGACCATTGAGAGGGGTATCTGCACCAGAGCGCTGATGGTACATATGATGGTTTGTGTAGAATAGAAGTATGATGCCACCTATCAACAGAGATTTGAGATGATTGGAGTGCTCGCTGGAGGTTTTCCTAATTTACGTTGTGGTGAGATCGGAAGCTTTGGATTGTTAATTGAGCGGCCCTTGTGCTATCCATTTAGTAAGTGCCCGAATCTTAGCCACCTCTCGGTACGTTGTATGTTCTCGGTAGAACCGCATCTCGTCCAGATCATCCACGATTTCGTCAACGTTCCAATTCTGATGTATTTGTTGCACGCGCGCGAGTACTTTTGTACCTCGACTCCATGTTTAGATAGACGTGCATCCTGCAAAGTAAGCATAGCAACTATGTCTTCCGAAGACTGTCGCCCATATAAGTATGGTTCCAATTCTGACAAAATCTTCGGAATTTTGCGTGTATCTGCGCTGACCATGCCATGAAGTCAGTCAGTGCACACTCTCGTATGTTCTGATCTTGCTTTAGTCCGCATCTACATGCGACCGTTTGGTACCGAAGGAAAACTGATCATCCTCATTTAGCTACGTAAACCTACAGAGTGAACGAGGATCCCTGCTGAAAGTCTCCACAATGAAGTATGGGACGACACTCATGATGTACGATATCATCCATAACTGCGTGATTATAAATATCAAATGGTGTGTGCAGCTTGCATGCACTTGCAAATCCTCTACATGCCTAAAACCGATGGCAACAGGGGACGGCTCTATGGCATTATTCTTCCTCAGGTCGCCGTACTCCTTTCTGCGTCTCTTGGCTTCTGGCACGTCAAGCAGCCTGTTCTTGATGTCGTCCATGTACACGCTCTAAGATATGCCTGCATACTATCCGGCATCTGAGCGAGGTCCTTCAGCACGCTGGGCGGCGGCATAAGTGCCAGATCCACCGCTTGGGCGGTTGAAGTATTTCTTGAACGCCACCTCGAACGTGGCACGCACGGCTTGCCCGTATCCGTCCAACATGTCAGGCACCGTGAGTGAAGGGGTGTGCCCTTGCTCTCCTTGGACCCCTTGACCTCAAAGTAAACTCAGCCTCCCTTCGGTCCGTGCCTCTCTGCACTTGCACCACTTGGTACTCGGCACAATCTGCACCACCCGGTACTTGGCACCACCTGCACCACCTGGTAATTGGCACCACCTGGCACCACACCTGGCACCACCTGGAACTTGGCACCACTCGGTGCCTCGGTGTCTGTTCCTCGGTGCCTCGGTGTGCCTCAGTGCCGTGCGATGATGGTGCCTGGTGGTGCCTGTTACGACTATAAAGCACGCCTTTGCCATTCATTTTCATTGATCACTCGTTTTCGAAAAGCGTTCGAGCTTAGGGAGTTGAGGGGGTGCGCTTTGGAGGCGTAGGAGCGTCGGAGCCGGCCGCGTTCTTTGATAAGGGTGAGTCTACATACATAGAGATTCTTCACCTGGTAGCAAGCCAGAAACTTTGTACTACATCTACTGTTATAAATTTCTCACACATTTCGGGTCTACTCAATCATTTTGGAAAGGGGGGGATTAGGTACATACAGATTTCCCAACCTCTGCCGATCTCGAAAAGTCGTACTACGTCTACTGTTATAAATTTCTCACACAGTCTCTCTCTTCCGAAGAGGCGAAGAAATTTATAACAGTAGGTGTAGTAGGTTTCTTCTTCTTTCCAAAGGAGTAGCGAATATGTATATACGGACTTTTGTGTAAGAAAATTATAACAGTAGGTGTAGTAGGTTTCTTCTTCTTTCCAAAGGAGTAGCGAATATGTACATATGATAAGAACTTTACAACAGAAGGCATAGTAGGTTCTCTCCGCTTTCTAATAAACTGACTCTTTTCCAGGGGCCAGTGCGCGGGGGCCGGTTTCGTGGGGGTGTCCAGCAGCATCCGGTTGTCGACTTCCGACGAAGAGGTGCGCACCAAGCAAAGTGAGAGACATTCGCCGACGTTCCTTCCAAGATCAGCATCCTTGACTTGATTGCTTCCGTCATGGGGGCGTTGAACCCTAGGCGAACCGGATCTGAACTATCCAAAAAGTTCGAGGACCAAGGCGTTACCGTTTGTAACGCCCTCGCTCCGTTTGCAGGGCGAGTTCAGCACGAGATGTCGGTGACAGGTATACGGGGCGTGGTTCGGGCAGAACGTTGCAGACCGTCTCATCCTCAAGGATGGACCCAAGCTCCGCGACTTCATTTCGACGCATTGCGACACCGGTGAAGGGTTGCTCGTTGCACGCCGCGAGTTCAGGGGTGCATTTCAAGCATGGCAGGATGGAGAACCCGTTCCTCAAGGCCTACCCGATGCTATGAACGCATTGGGCTACGTTTCTTCGACGAGGGCATATGGTACGAATAGGAAGTCCACCGGGGTCTACGTCGGCTTAGGCCTGCGCTCACAGCAGCATCCGGTGGTCGAGGTCGAGACCGCCGCTCCTGAACCTGACGTCGAGGAAACCTCCGGCGAAGAGGTGCGCGCCCAGCAGAGCGACCGGGACTTGGTCCTCGACAACCAACTCTTTGGCGAGTTCCGAGGTGCCAGGATGAGGAAGACTGACGACGTGCCCCCCAAGATCAGCATCATCGACCTGATTGCTGCTGTGACTGGGGCCTTAAATCCCAGGCAAACCTGGTCCGAACTATCCAAAAAGTTCGTGGAAGAAGGTGTCCATTTTTTTGGACACCCTCGCAAAGTTCCCAGGGCAAGGGCAAAACGAGAAGCCGGTGACGGATGCAAGGTTGTGGTCACTATCATCAACCGTTTGGGTGGGCACCGAATCAGGAAGACTGACGACGTCCCGCCCAAAATCAGCATCATCGACCTTATTGCAGCTGTCACGGGGGCCTTTGAATCCCAGGCACACCCTGTCCGAAGGTGTCCAGGTTTTGGACACCTTCGCAAAGTTTCCAGGGCGAGAGCATAACGAGAGGTTGGTGACGGATGCAAGGTTGTGGTCATCAGCCGTTTGGGTGGGCACCGGATCAGGAAAACTGACGACGTGCCCCCCAAGATCAGAATCCTCGAATTGATTGCTGCTGTTACCGGCCCCTCGGGCCCCCGGCCCCTGTGACCTCGCCAAGCTTCTAGACCGTGTGACCGGGGCGAAATCTGTCTCTACTTAGGGCTTTGCCTTTTCGTATAAACCAAGGAACATGGGAGAGCATAGAGAGATGACAGAGGAGATCGTGCTGCTGCCGCCCCAAGAGCCGCATGTGACGCGGCTCCTGAATATTTTACGCCATCATGCATTTGCTCTGGACCTGTCCGCGCTTGGGGCTGGAAAGACGTTCTCTGGTTCGAAGATCGCACTCGAATCGGGCCTGCCCAACGTAATAGTGATCAGCCCCGTCTCGGTCCAACCAAAATGGCAGGAGATGCACGAGAAGTATGGGGTGCCGATCAGGCACAACCTCAGCTACTGTGGCGTCCGTTCGGTCAAGGGGAAGCAGCCCAAGCACGGGCTGCTATCTCGGCGGGACTACACAGTGGACGTCACGATGCCGCGAGGACCTCCCCGGCAACTCGAGAAGACGGACTTCCAAGTAACGGACACCTTCAAGTTGCTCCTGGGAGAGGGAGTTCTCCTGATCGTGGACGAGATGCAGCACCTCAAGAACGTCTCGTCACAGTTTGCCGCCTGCCAAACACTGATCAAGGCGGTCACGGATTCGTACGAGGCCGGGGGGCGCTCGAGGGCGCTCTTGCTGTCCGGAAGCCCAATCGACAAGCAGGAGCAAGCCGTCACTCTCTTTCGGACCCTGAACGTCATGCAGCACCCCGATCTGTGTAAATTTAACCCAGGCACCAGGGTCATGGAGCTGCGTGGGGTGTCGGAAATCATCGATTTTTGCCAGGGGATCGACAATGTTGCCACCGAACGGATCCTGGCAGCAAAACGCTACTGGATGTGTGCTGAGAGCGTGATTCGGCCGATGTGTTACACCCTGTTCCAAGAGGTCCTGAAGCCGAACCTCTCGAGCACGATGCCGCCCTTGCGCTGGCCGGTACTCTGCTCAAACTCAATGCATTCTACCGGATTGACGACGAAGAGGATCGGAAGGCCCTGTCGGCTGGCGTGCAAGCCTTAGAGTACGCCGTCCATTACGATCGACGGACGGGCCGAGTGAGCATGGCCGAGGGGGCTGATTCACTGCGTGCCCTGTGCGCTGCCCTGGTGAAGATCGAGAGCTCCAAGGTTCGAACGTTCGCCCGGGTGGCTCTCAAGGCGCTACGGTCGAACTCTCAGCAGAAGGTTGTCATTTGCGTCAACTACAACGACTCCCTGCAAAGCCTGCAGGACTTATTAGCTGCTTACTCGCCGCTGGTTCTGAACGGCGCGGTGCCTAAGCAAGAACGGAAGCACATCATCGACAAGTTTCAGCTTCCGGCCGATGAGCACAGGGTGCTGCTGGGGAACGTCTCCGTCTGCTCAACGGGCATAGACCTGGACGACAAGGACGGTGCGTGGCCCCGGCTGGCGTTGATCAGCCCAAACTACAGCACTCTGACTCTGTATCAGCTGGGCCACCGTTTTCAACGGATGGACACCAAGTCGGAGGGGACAGTGCATATGGTATTTGCAAAACATGCGCATGAGTTGCCGATCCTCAATGCTCTCTCGAGAAAGGGTGCTGTCATGAGAGAGACGACGCCGGAGCAGGTGAATGCCGGCATCAAGTTTCCCGGTGACTTCCCAAGTTGGGTCGAGGAAGATCTGGAGACCTCGCTCATGAGGAGTGGATTCAAGGGATTCAAAGCGAACAGGGAGCGGCGCAAGTGGGCACGAAGTGTGATCGGAAGTGCGCTCATGGAATGGTCGCTTCGACCAGGAGGGGTTCTCTATAGGCTGGCCATGAGACGGTTTGAAGCGTGCAAAGTAGATAAACTATCCATGCCAGACAATATAGGATGTCCGTTGTAATCAATGGCGCCCGACGTATGCATAGGAACACAGGGCAATCCAGCTAACTGGTGCTAACTGGTGGTAACTCCAATTCTGATAAGACCTTGGATTTTTGCCTGCAATGCATGTATCTGCGCAGACCATGCCATGAACAGTGCACACACTCTCGTATGTTCTGATCTTGCTTTAGCCGCATTTGCATGCGACCATTTGGTACTGGTGGAAGCTCATGGTGGTTTGCTACTTACGGACATGGTGACTAGTCAATGGGGCAAAGAATGGCAACATCTGCTCCCGTTTGTCGAGCAACAGTTGTTGTCACTTGCAACCAATGTGGCAAGCGACTCATGCTCAAGGACTCGTTCAGCAAGAGCATGAGGCAGAACGGAACATTGGTGTCGGTGTATATCTGCTCCATGGAGTGCTTGTGTGTAGTCGGGGGCTGCGAGCCGATCAAGGTTGTACAGTTTGCCAACACGGCCTGCTACGAGTGCAGGGGGAAGGTACCGTTGAAGATATGGGAAGGCAAGATGGTTTAAGAGCTCAAGCGCCTCGGATACGAGTACAGCTATTATGACTCACTCGTCCCGTGCGCTCAGGCGAAAGGGATCAAGGGGTTCAGACCTGACTTCATCTTTGTCGGCAAGGACTTTGTGGTCATTCTCGAGGTGGACGAGGATATGCACCGCCACTACGAATGTCGTGCGAGGTGGGACGGATTGGGGACATCAAGGATGCCGTCGAGCTCCCTCTCCTTCTCATCAGGCTCAACCCTTCCGAAGGCCGCATCAAGATGCTAGAAGAGACAATGAAGTGGGCGCTCTCAATGGGAGACGCTGTCAAGGCAGCACAGGACGCAGGGCTCATTCTCGCTTATCACGGGTATTCGGACGGCAGGAGGGCCGAGCTTCACAAGCAGATGGTCAGGCAGAACGGCTTTGCATACGAGACCATTGTTCTGTAACCGGCACAACACTGTTCTAGGAGGCCTCTGCGCCACCTCCAAAGTCGGTGCGGATGAAGCCTCTTGCGCTGATTGGCGGCCGCCTCTCTCGATCCTCGTTGTGAGATCGCCACTCCCACAGCAAATGCCTACATGGGTACTATATCTTCGTCCAGAGAAAACCGGTCGCCGTGCTGCCCATCCTCGTGGCATAATCCACTTGTTGCCACGACAGGTCATTCTTCTCAGCGGCCTCTGCGATCGTACTATATGTCTGCAGGAGCTTGCCCTCGAGATCGTGCTTGCGGACGGCTCTGTTAATTGTCCGGTTCCGATTTTGTTCCACCCTGGTCGCCCAGCGGAGGTTCCAGATCACGTCCTGGTCACAAATTCCATCGATGTGGTCGACCGTGTGCTCATCACTAGGGGGCGGACCGATGAAGGTGTGGGCCATGAGATTATAGACGCAGACAGTAACACGCTTCCCGGCGATCTGAAGCTCGACCTTATGTCGCCCGCACACGATGTTGCCCTCCGTGCGCCTCCCGTTGCTCAATTGAACGCGCCCCAAGCTGCTGACCCGTATGCTTCTGAGAACCCGCCCATCCAGCTTCGCATCCTTCCATTCTTCGCTAGGCCTGTCCGCTTGATCTACAACATGCACCGAGCACCTGAAGAACATGTAGCCACCGTACTCCTTGCTTGAACCTCCCTGGATGCACTTCTGCATCGTCTTCCTGTCGAGCCCCAGAGTTGATGCGGCGTCCCTGATCGAAGAGTACCGTTCCTCTTTGCTGCTCGCAACATGACGTACAATAATTGGGAAGCCTCCGGTCACACTCCGCTTCTGACCCGACCCAGGGTTGTCCCTTGCGGTCTTCCGCTGGTGTTCCGGCCGCGTTAGCTCTTGAAGGTTTGCCCAGCTGTCGTTCTGAAGGGGCCGTTCCGACCCGTCCTCCGGTTTGGGCGAAGGAATGATGTGGTCGATCTCCATCCCGGGAGAAATCGCGCGCCCATGGGCGATCTCGAAGTTCAGGCGGTGGCGCTGGATCATCTGCCCGTTGATGTTGAACTGGATGTAGCCACTTTTAAATCTTCCCTTCAAGAAGCGCCCGACTTCACAACTCCAGACGCTGCCGTCAGGGAGCCCGTATATATTCATGAACTTGTAGTGCTGCTTCCAACCGTCGTAACTTGCTGGTGGCGCATTCTGCTCTGAATGCGAGCGGGAGTGGCGTGTCAGGTACCGCTTGTCAGTAAAAGTCTCACCACAGCCCACGACGTTGCACACAAACCTCCTAGTATCGGCGACCTGGCCGCGCTTGCGCTTGACTCCGGCCGTGACGCTCGTGGCAGCTGTAGAGCTTGCCATCAATGACTGCTGCTGAACCGTGGCACCCTTTGTTCCTAAGTCAGGTTCAAGTTGAAGGAAGCACTCCCAGGCACTCCAAGGAGCATGTATGGGAGTGGCGATCTCACAACGAGGACAAGGAGAAACACTAGGTGCATCACCCACCTTAATTCTGGTGGTGCAGCAGCCTAAGCTCTACACTACCCAACCTTTGTTCCGAAGTTTGGGTTCTTCCAAGCTTGCGCTGTAGAGAGATCGGAAGCCTCGGGTCATTGCTTGACCTCCCTTGTGCTATCCATTTAGTAAGTGCCCGAATCTTAGCCACCTCTGAAGAACTATAGAGCGTCTCGGTCCAGTACGTTGTATGTTCTCGGTAGAACCGCATCTCGTCCAGATCATCCACGATCTCGTCAACGTTCCCTGCACCAATTCTGATGTATTCGTTGCACGTGCGCGAGTACTTTTGTACCTCGAGTCCTCGTTCAGAAAGAGCCTCTGCCAGCTCTTGCTTTCGTGCATCCTGCAAATTAAGCATAGCAAGTATGTCTTTCAAAGATTGTCGCCCATATAAGTATAGTTCCAACTCTGTCAGGAGTATTTTTTCTGCACGTCCCCCAAGATTCTGCCAAAGCTTTGATGCTCGAACTGCAACTTCGCAGTGGCGCTCCAACCCCCCTTGCACGTAACTATGTCGTGCGTGGGCAAGGGCGAGGCCGAGATCTCCAGTGCAATGTGGTGCTGCTGATGCAAAGGACATGTACCGCCGAATCCTTTCCTTGACTCGTTTCTGCCCACCGATTCCATTTCTCACGTAATCAGAACAGGATGCAGAGTACATGAGCTCACGGTTGTGCTTACCTTCTGGATCGCTCTCGTTCATAAGCTTTACGGCCACGTCTGTTCGAAGCCTCCTCGGTTCACCGCGTTTCCGCTGCTTCGACCGCGAGGCATCCTCAGCAGCGTTCAGCCCCCCAGGGCCACCGTACTTGTCCAACGAAGCAGTAAGAACGTCTTGCCATCTGTACATACGTATATTGTTGTGGTATGCGCGGTGCAGTGTTTGGAATACAGGGCAAAAGCTCAGATCCTGGTCATCAAGGAGAAGCTTTTTCTTGCATGCTGAGTGGCTCAGCAATCTGAGGTGTCCTGGTCCGTTCTCCGCCGTGCAATTCTGGCAGGCATTGATGGCCGGGTCAAAGGGATATACCACCCTCGTCGAACGTTTGCATCCATCACAAGGCCGCAACGTTCCGGTCACTCTTTGTACCTTTGTACCTGGACTTCTCGTCCTCATACCTTCCTCGTATGCTTTCTTCCGTTTAGCCCAGCCATCCAGTGCCACGTTCCGAAACGCCCGCGAGATCGGGGCGATTTGGAGGAGCAGGCGTGGGTCAGCTGACGCACGCTCAAATAAAAGGTCAGGGAGTACATCTACTAGCTCGCCGGCCATATCTGTGGCTGCATTTTAGTTGCTACTGGTCGCCCGCGCAAATTCCTAAAGTGCGGCCCGTTTTTTTGAGTGCAATATTTTAAAGCATGTCCGCCCAGCTTTCAAGCTGTTGATCATCATTTGCAGCTCGTCAACCGTCTTCTGTGCGATCGGGGCACTCGTCTTATCTGCGTCTTCTGGACTGCACAAGTATAAGAAGTCATACCGCATATACACCACCATGTGGCAGTGGGATCGTGAACTAGCCGGCATTGACACCTAAACCCGTATATATGCGATGGAAGCCAATGGCCGCACTGGCTACGGCATATTGTAACGAGACTATGTGCATGCGCTCCGATTTGATATACAATTCACAAAAGGACATGCAGCTGGCATCCTTACTTTGGTAGCTTACGTGCGCACATGCTATATTGCACTGAGAGGTCAAGCTACATTGCAGCTCCAAACATCTTGATTAGAAATGTGCAGTTTGCTTCAGATACGATCTCGGCCTTTTTTACATCCATCTGCTGAAGCTTGGCATCTATTGCACCTATAATGCAAGCGCTAGGATATCCGGAATATGTAAACCGATATAATGATTGTCAGATTTTGACAGATAGAACGTGGGGCTTCATATGATGCATTATAAGTGGTGCCGCTGCACTCGGTCGCACAATTACCATGTATTATACATTTCATAATTGCATTGAAATTACATATGTCTATAACACAAACAATCATGTACAATATGGGCGCGCATGAGCGGATCATTGATACAACTGCTGATGTTGATTATATGTGCTATCTCGGTTTTTAGATTGTTGCCAAACATTTGGCGAGGGGCATGCATGTAGCTGCGAGCTTGAAGAGGGGCATGCACTAGTTCAACTCTGTAGAACAAACGTGAAATCTTGGAATGAACAGTGCAAAGATAGTGTCAATAACACTATCTGGCAGGACATAATGCAACCCCCTTAACACCCAATCTCGCCAATACAGTTCAACGTTTCCCTATGTTCGCACTGCCAACTCCCTTGCACCACATTTGGCATGTGTGGCTTGGAGCAACGCTACCATTTTTCCATTGAATGCACAGATCACCTTCACCGTAACCATGTGTTGACAAGCTCGACCCCAAGAAAATTCCCGCTTGCCCCCGTTCAGGATCGCACCAGATCCCTTGCGACCCGTCTCGATCAAACGCAATCAAACGCCAAAATCAAACATTTAACCCAAAGGTAAGGGAGTGACAGAAACGGAAAACCCCTTACGCCCTCAGCAGAAGTGGCAGCAAAGGTCACAATTCAAACGACACGCTTGATGAATGAACGCATCCTGCCTGGCTCCAGGACTTTACGTGTGAGAATAAAGACTGCCCAGTGTGTGCTCTATGGTACATGAGTAGCGACCACTAAACAGCAGTTCGTTAGGAAGCTCACGTGTTTTGACAACCAGTTAATTGACGCTTGGAGCATATCCTCTCCATCTATAAAAACCAGAACAAAAAAGCATTAGCGCTAGTGCATCCGCCCCCAACTGGCCTTTGCGAAAGGTGAGTCCTGTCTACTTCCAACATAATGTCGGTCCGCGTGCCCTGCCTGCCATCTGCCTGCCTGTCCTAGTGCCTATCCTGCACAGATTGGTTTCCTATGCCCCATGCAATTCTCAGCACTCCTTGTAAATACTACTCAGCACTTTCAGCTTCTCCAGTTGGTCCCCTTTGGCCAGCCCTGGCTTAACATAGCATATCTGGTAAACCGGTTTCCAAAGCTCCTTCTCCCCAAACTCCAGAACCTGCCGCCACTTAGGGTCCTTCCGCCGCAGCATATCCGCCACCTCGCTCGTCTCCTCGCACGGCTCCAGGATCAGCAGCCAAGTCTCCTCCGCCGCACCAGGCCTCTCCCTCACTTTCCGCACACCCACTATCGTGCGCGAGTGCCCTTGTTGCTGAAAGTAGAGCGGCGGTTTGTCCACCACTCGCACCTGGGGCTGTCTGCAGTTCCCGTCCTTCCACTTCTCATCCGCTTTCAACCCGTCCGTGAAGTAGCGCCAAACCCACTCAAACAGCCTGGTGTGCCGCACGCCGCGCTTGGGGTCTAATTGGGACGGCGCTTCCCCCCCCTTGGACGGCGCGGCGTTGTCCGCATCGTCCGAATTTGAGTCAGGAGCCTCCACCCGGATGAAGTGATTCAGCCTGCCCACAGGTTGCTTTGCAAACTCCTTGTCCAGGGCCTTCTTACAGTCCCCGCAGACGTTGTAGTCATCCTTCACGTTGCACTTGTAGTAGTGCTTGCCCAGGGTTTTGTTGCACCGCGCGCACATGTTCTTCTTGACGTTGTCCTTTTGACCTGACCCGGTAACCACGGACGTCTCCAGGACGTCGTCATCCACGTTCCCAGCGCGCAATTTGATGGCTGCGGCGGCATCAAACTGCACTATGCAGGCTCGCACGCCCATAGACCTGAGAATCACCGCGCACTCTGTGGTTCCAATCCACTTGGACGTCCCCACAATCTTCCAGTCTAGCTGGTCCGCTCCCTCCACATCAAACCCAATGTTCCAAGCGGCCTCTAACCATTGCTGCAGGCAGGCAATGTCTGGGACGACCGCCTTGCCTGGGTAATGCTTGCAGATCTCCTCGTTGCGCAGCAGGTTGGATAAGTACATCTGGATGTTGCGCCAGCCGCAGCCCCACCCCTCGTCCTCCCCCCTGAGACACCCAAAGTGATCCACGTTCATGCAGATAACCGCCTTGCTCTCAGTCTTCCCCTCAGTCAACCGCTCCTCTAACAGATGCATTAACCCCTCTGGAACCTCCACAAACCCCTGCTCCAGCTGCTCAAACCTCCCCAGTCTCCCGTCCATCCTTGCCCGGTGTGCGCAAGAGCTCTCCTGCGCCGTCTGTAGTTCATTACCCTATCACAAGGTAATGGCGCGCATGGCAGCAAAAAACTAGACCAACAGCCCAGGTCTTCGATGTTGCTGGAAAAGCAATCCGATACCTGAGAACTAGGGACAACGAACCGGTTGAAAAATTCGTCGAACAGGGTTCCAGCCATTTGGGCTGCACCAGCATTCGGTACTAAATGCTTGGCGCGGTCACCCCGAAGCTGTCTTTTGTCATCACCCGCAGTGAGGCTAGCAGTAAAGGCGCCGGCATCGGCCGGTGTCGCGCGAATTTAATTCAAGATCGAATGTCGCGCGCGGCCGCGTCGGCGGCGAACAACTAGCCGTGCGAGGAAAAAACAGAAGGCAGCTGGGGGCCTGACGAACGACCGTAACGCTAGTGCAGGCCCAAGAAGAGCTGGATGGAGGGCTACGACGCGAGTCCGATAGAGCAGGGAGTATGGGAAGCCGAAGGCGACTGGGCTGAGGCGAGCAGGTAAGTTGAAAGAATTTTGAAGTATACAAGGGTGGGCCAGGGTGGGAAGCGCAAAATTCTTCCTAAGCGGGCGCCATGGCGCCCTTCGAAAGCTCTTCCGAAAATGCACAGGACCACTGCGGGGTCTCATGCATTTTTGTGCCGAAAGTTCGGTAGTTCGCAACCGTCCGATTCGAGGTATCGTAATCGGACCAATCAAAAAGTTGTCCACTATCAATTTTCTTAAAAAAAAGGGGTCTATTCACATGCTAGGCTGTGCCCCAAAGTGTTTGAATTGAAACGGTAGTGGGAAGACGCGCTTTGACTTTAAGTGAAGCCAAAAGCGCATTCTGAAGTCCTGGTTTGGCAGTAAGCTCTGCGGCCTTCACAGCGCGCCATCTGTCAAGCAGGGAGTGAGACTCTCGGGGTAGGGAGATCCGTTTTCTTTGCATCCCTACCGTCTGGTTAAGTATACCATAGTTTTAAGATACCCTCCCGGGAGACAGAGGGAGTTATTCTGCCGGTTAGGGCTAGTTTGGGCAGGTGCCTATACTACGTCAGAAGTTGGTTTGATACTTTCAAGTTAAAGCCCCCGGTGGAAAATGATCTGGGTTAACACAAGACCCGTAGTTGCCGTTACTCCAATCCTACCCGGTTTAGCAGGCGGTTCAAGTTTGCTGAGCTGTCAGCTCGAACGAGGCAGAGAATGGCTGTTGGCGAGAGGGAAGTTCCTCGCCAGTCTGCCAAGCGCTTCCTTCATGTTCAGCAAGGCGAGAGGGCCTTGGTTCGTGCTTTATTCCTCAGCAAAGTCTGGTATCGACCGCAAGACCATCTGCACCCACTGCTTTGCATAGTACGGGTGATCACCTGCAACAGGTACACAGCAGTCAAGCAAGCGCTTCATTCGATATTTTTTACGTGGGCCCAGGAAGAAAGTTTGTTTTAGCTCCCTTGCATAGAGAAGAGCGTCAAAGCTTCGTCGCTGTGAACAGTTATAGGGGTTACTCAGTACACCAATTCACAAGAACAATTGTCTGCGCCAATCAAGCTATGGCACAAAATGCATTAGCAGGACAGGCTCCATTGGCGGGGCGATATGCAATCTTCATAACAGGTATGGCAGAGTCACAGGAATCAGAGTGTTTGCTGCAGCTTGATCGAGTCTGCTTGAGATCTTAGCATAGAAATGTGTCACAATGTGTCTTGAATGTGCCAAGAGACTGGGTGCCCTGCAACTGAATCTGTGCTCTCGAAGCAGGAATGAGACACCAATTGGCTGGCTTCTGACAGTTCATCAATCATTGTGACGATGTTTTGGGAAAGCTTGCAACTTAGATGACCTAGGCATCGGAGTAGCAGAGCAGAGAAGCGGTTGGAGTTGGTCACGAGGCAGGGGTCAACCACCGATTAGCTTGCGTTTTTTACAATGCCTTACCCTTTGTTCAGATGTTAAGGACATGTAATTGTCCTTGGAGACTCAATCTTCTGAGTATCAATCAGAAAGAGCGGAAAAAACAGTAAGTCCTTGGTGGTGATTAAACAAAGGCTGCAATCATGAGGCAGGAGTGACGCTTGCTGAAGTCATTGTTCTGAACCTTTGGGGAATCTTATTGAGGCCTAAGATTGATGTAGCACAGTGAAATAGCGATTGGTTTTACAAATGGATTGGTGGTGAAAGCCCAAAGGCTGCCAAGCAGGGCTACGGCAGGTGAAGCCAGTAAAGAAATATAACAAAGAAATCTAAGGATTGTGGTTGTCAAGCGCTGCCAGAAACAGAGCAAGCCTTTTGATATAAAAATGGAGCCTGTGTTGCTGGATTATCTGTGGCACCAAGTTTTCATCAGTTGGCAAGAGGATGTTAGGCAATCTGGCAATGAACCATTCCTCAGTTAGTGGGAAGGGGAGCCTTAGCAATGAAGCATTACAAACGCATAGCCACTTGAGTAATTTGTATAGGCTGGGAATGTCTTAGGGCTCGTGTGTTTTACCTGCCATGTAGATTCTTCTTTTACAGGACTTGAGTGTAATCCTAGGTTCAATAGGTTGTTTGTGCTGTTGTAGGGGAAGATGTCAAAGGGCTGAATCTGGTACGAACACTCCTTGCATTTCCAACCGAGAGCGTTTCTCAAGGTCTCGAATCTCAGATCCACAAGTCGGTCAATGAACCGCAAATGTTGCTCCCTCAGGTCGGAAAGGATTTCCTGCAGGCGTTGCGTTTTGTAACAACTCGGGCAGATTTTTGCCTGCAATCTTACACATACAGCCCATCATGTGGCAATACATTTTCACTTCTATCGTTAAGAACCGCATGTGACCGTGTGGATCAAAGCCTTCCCATCGGGGCTCATCTGGATTCAACATCAGTAAGGCTTACACACCTTGAACGTGTCCTGTCCTGGAGGTTACTATGTTTTCAAGGGGATTGAGCGATCGGATGTGCCAATCCAGGGAATAAAGCTCCTGACCTCAAGTCGTAAAGCAAAGTTCATTGATAACGGCATAACTTATTTGTGTCAGGTTACGTTCGAAAGTCATGGGTTAGCTAGACATCATAACCTATTTCTGTTCAAAGCATGCAGGATCCATTTGCATAGGTTTGGGCTGAAGGTTTCGGTTATAGGGATCAGAAGTTTCCTGTTTGTGGTTATGAGCGGAAATAACTACACACTTCGAAAGGGCCCTGAAAGATTGCTAGAAGGCACTTTGGCATCTCAAAAACGCCCTGAATTTTCACGTGAAAATTCAGGGCGTTTGTTCGCTCCTTAAGGTTATGAAAGCGGTTATAGTTCCCTGCACGGGTGTTTCCAAACACTTCTGCTTGGTTACAGGGTTGCATCTGGATTGTCACGTCGTGGTTATAGATCGGTACAAGTCCTGTTCTAGACAATATAACCAATGTCTATGGATCTGAAAACGATGTCCGGCCTGCTGAGCTCTCCGTGCGCGGATCGGGCGAGCATGGCCCTGCAGAGCAAGCAGAGGAGTCTGGGCACGTTCATGTGAGTAACATAGGTACGATTCGATGCGACAAAAAAATATCGGACGGTCGCTCAAGATGCGTGCATACATGCAATTAGGGTGGGAATCCACATACTACGACATACAGTCTGTCCAAGTGAAATGGCACACCTCGCCAATCGTAAGTCAATGCAAGGATCCTGAGCAACAATGGGTCTTCAATGACTGTATTTGGCAGGCGCGTGACGGTATTGATCCCGGTTCTTTACCAACGGCTGATGGGTCATCACAAGGCCCGATGATAGCGCGTCTCATTCCATTCAGCCTGAAGCTGTTGTAGAAGCACAATCGCACAGTCGCATCAGCCAGATCAGATCATAGGCACCTACGTTATCATAGAGATGCCCGGTCAAACTGCAGCTGTAGCTATGCTGGTGCCCGCAATAGGTACTGCGAAAACAGCAGATCTGCATACACCACTGTCAATTGCATGAGACTATTCATGCATGTACTCAAGTTCAATTGTCACAAGAGCTGTGTAACTTTCTCATATCCAGGGCAGTCCTGCTAGACGGCCTATCTTCTCCACGAGTTCCTTGGGTATCAACCACAACTTCTCTAACGCAACAATTACTGCTACTTGTTTCCGGACCACTGATTCGGCAAGCTCTAAGGACTCCTTATCCAAGCAGACGCCTAGTGTCCGTGCAAGCCGAGCGCACTTTGGCCCAGAAACAGCCAGGCCTGGTCTCAGGATGCGGCCAAAGTGCCCCTGCTCCAAGAGCACCCGAAAGAGGAGCATGCAATCATCTCGAATTGCGAGGCCACCAACATCCTTCGTCAACCCACATTTTTCAAATGAGTTGACATCTGCGCCTCGGCTCAGCAGCAGCTCGCAGACTGCACTCTGCCCTGCCATAGCAGCGCAGTGGAGCCCCGTCCAACCCTCTCCATCGGCTGCGTTTATGTCAGCCCCCCGGCCCAGCAGCAGTTCGCAGACTGAACTCTGCTCTGCCGCAGCAGCGCAGTGGAGCGCCGTCCGACCCTTTCCATCGATTGCATTCACATCAGCACCCCGGCTCAGCAGCAGCTCGCAGATTGCACTCTGCCCTGCTATAGCAGCCCAGTGGAGTGCCGTCTGACCCTTCC